TCCCATCTCGAAACATCATCACAGTGGTTATACTTTCACATTATAATCCAGCTTGTCTTAATGTGAAACGCGATAATCACTCAACTATTCAATTTATGTAAAAGAGTTATTAAAAAAAAATAATTAATTTAAAAAATATTTATATATTCTAATAATATTTAAAAAATATTTAAATATTCTAATAATATTCAAATAATATTCACACCAACATTCGTATTGGCCCGCATTAGCGTTACTTCACTATTGTTGAAATATTCAAATATATTTACTCAACACATTTTGCTATCTTAACGATCTTCATGCTATTGTTACAGATTTTTGCACTGCGACCAATTGATAATTCCTATATAACTATTCCGTACATAATACAGTATTTCTCATATTTTCCATGATAATAAAAAAAACGCGCGAAGATATACAAAATATTTGTCACGACAGCGACCTGACGCGACAGGTCGACGCTCGTACCTTTCGCGTGTCAGCGATAAGCGGCCGGCCTGTGTCGCATTATGAGACTCAACGCACGTACGTGCACACACATTTCGCATTGTCGGCGGTCGCCGCGCCGCGCCGCGCCGCCGCCGCACGCGCATGCACTAGCGAAGCTTATCTGACGATTGCAGCTGCACCGGCGGCAATCTAGCCTCTGGCGGAGCTAATTGAATTTTCTCCCCGAGATCGTCGTGAGCGGAGCCGGAGCTGCGGCTGGTGGAAGGACCATTCACAGAGAAGCTCCTTGTACCCGCGACAAAAGGCACGCGTGTTGCACGACCGAAATCGCGATAATACGCGTGGCTGCTGCCGTGGAACTCTCTCGCCGTTGCTGCAACGCGCCGCGCCGCGTCGGCTCGAGACCAAAGTCACTCGCGGTTCTTGCTGGCAATGCTGGCATTCCGCCGTTAGACGGGAGACGTTTTTCCGACGACTGGCGACCATGGGGTTCCCGACCGCGGCGAACTCAATGGATAGAATTCGAGAAATTGAGCATCGATAATTGAGCGTTCCTGGGAAAAGTAGTCATTTATAGACAGTCGACGGATGTAAGATGTACGATCAGAGACACTAAACCGAATTAACAAACTTTAATTAAATTTGGGCATCTCATTTTCACTTCGATATTGCTTATGACTACAATATTATTAATTCTGTAATTACAATTAAGAAACAATTGAAGAAAGTTCCAATTTTCACCAAGTATTTTATAATCTGTTTTTGGGCATCTCTTTTCACTTCAATATTGCTTATGACTACAATATTATTAACTCTGTAACTATAATTAAGAATCAATTCAAGAAAGCTCCAATCTTCATCAAGTATTTTATAATCTGCTCGATTTCAACCCAGATTACGATGTGCCGGGGTATTTCAAAGACATCCCTTATTTTCGACACGCCTACACGTCCAAGATTGGCCTCGAATTACACGTGCCGACCACCCCACGTCGTATATCGGCGTTGCATCGTAAATGCCACCCAGGTGCCTAATCGCGCGCTCCTTTCCTTTCGAAGCCTACACCTTCCTGAGTATACCTGCGGACTGCTCTCTCGGCAAGTGCTTTTCAGACGGCTTTATTAAAGATTATCTAAAAAAATCACACCGTCGGAAAATGTGTAATGCAGTTTGCAATATTGGTCGGAAAAACTCAGTCGTGGGACGTAACCGCACCGGAAGACGAGGATTTATGCCTCCTTCCGTTACGAGAATACGCGCGATTGCATCTATACCGCTGACGCAAATGCAAATATACAATTCCGATTTAGATCGCGGCTGGATCGCTGAAAATACATAACGTGCACAATTCCCTCGAAATCGACGAATACCTCAGCCGCGAGTCATTGTTTTTCCTGGCGGGCTAACGTGTAACTAGTTTATTAAATCAAAAGGAGAAGCGTACACAACCGCCGTTGAGCGAATCGAGCCGACTCCCACGTACGTCTCTCACTTTTCTCTCGCAGAGACGTAAGCCCTTTTCTTTCTTCGACGTGAGCTCGACGCCCATGCAGTCGCTCGTCGGACCATCACGTAGGATGCGACTCTTGCGTCTTTTTTTTTCTCTTCTTTTCGAATGTGACAGGTACAGGCGTGTATGTAAAATATCGCCGTGAAGAGACAGGAATGAAGATTTGTTGGTCGAGCATGAGTCAAATAAGCAATCTCTTAACTCTACGGATGGTTCGGCGTCAGCTAATCGGCCTTGTTACAAAACTTTGATTAATTTTTACATTATTAGCATGGAAAAATAAATAATATATCAATTTTTGTAATACGTCGAAACATATTTTGTCCGTAAAAATAAATATTATAATACCAAATTGTACCAACAATATAAGTTTCACATTTTTAGATTTTATTCTGTTCAAAGCTTTTGCTCAAAATTTCTCTCTTTGCGATCACGATTGTGTAACGCAATCAGTTAAAACAGAGACAAAAGAGAAAATTCACAGGAACTTATATGCTTCCGATATTAAGTCTCTGTCGCGACACTCTCTGGTCCTGTGATTACCTTAACGAGCACGCGCTACCGCCGTTGCATAATGGCTTCTTGCACACGTCTCTTACCCCAGACTCACAAATCCGCGGAGAATCTTATACGCGGAACAACTAATGTAAGATAAAATTGCCGGACGTGCTTATCTGTAACGACCGAGGAACCTATCGAGGACCTCTTTCCCCACGGTGTGAAACTCAGCCATATACATACGTGCAGTTCACTTCCCCTTCAACAATGCAACGCGGAACTTATTGTGCGCCTCAAATCTTAATTTATTTACGCAATAAAACAATCTCAGATCGCTTTTCCGACTCAAATAGTCATCTTTCTTCATTATACTTCGTATGATAGCTGCCACTAATTACAATTTTTATACATAAAATGTGGCAAATGTTATACACGTGGAGAAAGGATTAGCCAACGCAGCTAAAATATAGCCGTGGCAGCTAATGCGAATTTTTAAAATAGAGACAGCTAATATCGTTACTGTCAAAGCTAAATTTATTAGTTAAAATTTAGGCGCTACAGCAAAAATATTTGCTGCTAGAATCAAATGACATTTAGTTAATTCTATTGAGAAATATCCAGCAAAACTTTTTTTTTCAGCAAAACCATTCTTTCCGTATGCCACTTTCTTAGCTACTCCTGTCAGAGTACGCTTTTATTTTAGGTCATAAAAATGTTCGCAACAAATAATATTTTATCTTTAATAGCTATAACTTTTAGCAATGACAGCAAAGTTCGAACTAGCTACCGATATTTAACTGATAATGCCAAGTCATTACTTTGCGTATATAGAATAAAATATCAAAAAACATAAAAAAGTATTATTATACGTAAATATCTCTATAACCGTAATCCAGTTTATATTGTAATTTTAAAGAAAATTAATATTTATCATTATTACACTTTATTAACAGTTTTAATATTTTAAAATAAATAATATAATAATATAAACTTATCGATATAACGCACGATCTTTATACAATAAATTATAATCTCTACAATTTGCGCAGTACACCACACACATACATACACACACACACACACACACACACACACACACACACACACACACACACACACACACACACACACAC